GTAAAAATGTGAAGTGGAAGGAAAATGTTACATTGATTGCTATGTTTAGCTTCTCTATCCTTGCTGAGAAAAGCACCATCACAACTTCTCAAGATGCAACAGGCTGAATTACCATGTTGGTTTTTTGTGCTGATTCGGTCTATCACATAAAAAAAAAAAAAACACTAAATGTTGAATTCTTTCATTGTGACAAGACATAAAAAGGGACATGAATAATTCTTCAAAGCATTGTGTTTTGGTAAAATTCACTTTGCTACAAATGAAACACTGAGCTCAGCTTTATATCTGATATATAAAGTACCTGTTTAGTATTTCTTTTTACCACAGAAGAACTTAGTAAGAATGTTGCTCCCAGAAATAACACAAGCGATTTGTTTTATTAATCCAATACCAACTCTATTTGATGCAATCAATAGGCCTTTTAAAAAGGGAAAACATCATCACACAAGTTTTCTTGTTTGTGCTGAAGCTTTGATTTCAGGTTTTGGTCATGAGGTTCCAACTTTGGGCACAAATGAGCTCAAAATTATTGTGTTAATTATTCATACAATTAATGCGCATTTGTATCCATTCAATCAAGAAGTTTGTTGCCGACAGTAAATGAATAAGACAGGCATCTCTCAAAGGATAAAACTTTTAAAAAGGGATAAAACATTGGAAAAATAAGTATTTGTTTATAGATGATTTCATTAAAAAAAAAATCACATGCAATTTATAACCTTCTAACCAATTAAGCGAGAAGTCTTTATTGGTGTTACATTAACTCTCTTCACGTTTTTGGATTTCCACTGGTATTTTGACATTAGAGCTTATTTAAACCTCTAAAGTTTCTGCTAGAGACTTGAATAACTTCGAATCAAACTTTGCATCAACAGGACACCATTGTGGATTGTAAACAATCAGACTTTCTTTTTCAAGCCGTTGCTTTGCACAATAAAACTCACCAAACGCAGAGAAAAAAAAACATTTCCAGCTTTGCTAGAAATGTAGATTATATTTAGGCTCAGTCATGTATACCCTTAGGGAATCTGTGGCGTAAGAGTTTGAAGAGACTGGCACAAAAAGAGCATTAAAGTTTCTCCTTACTCACTGCGACTGTTTTATGAATTATAAATTGGGTGATAAAAGCTTGTCGAAAATGAAACATTACCTGAAATATGGGCACCTCTCAATGGTCTCCGTCTCAACAATGACTGCTCGTGCCACAAAAGCCAGAGAGTGGAATGATTATGAGAAAATGCATGCCTGACCTTTAAATGCAGGGATGAGCTCATCGCCAACAGGGAAAAAAATAACTCTACTTGTACCTGAAAGTGAAGGTTAAACCTGCTGTTGTGAGGCGTAGGTGCATGAAGCATTGGCAGGACTTCCTGTTCCTTAACACTGATATTTGTACAGGAGCAACTTAGCTTGTATAACTTGGACATAAGCCTCAGGAAGGAAAACCTGCTGATATCAAATTTAAAGTTCATTTTTGAAATTGATTCAATTTTTTATTTTTCCACAGCTTTATGAAGATCACATTCCTGAGAAAATAATTATTTGCCTCCTTACAGATTTTGTATTTTCATGCTTTTCATGCATCAGACAATGATACAAATTTTAATATCAAAGATAACCCGAGCGAATAAAAAATGATTTTAGATTTTTTTCCGTTCTTGATGGGATAACAATCTGCCCCCATGTGAAAACATGACTGTCCAGTTGTTAAAATTGTGTAATGTGGAAAATCATCCGTTCTCCATGCCGAGTTCTTGATGTATGAGGTTGAAAAAGAGTCAGTGGGTTGAATTAATGAAGTCCATTTATTAGTACCAAAATACAGCAGGTTCATTTCTCATGCCACCTTAGGAGGTAACAGACAAAATGGCACCCAAGAAGAATTTGTGATCTCCTTTGTTAGCCTCTGCTAAGCTATGCCCCAAAGAGGGCGTGCCCTACTGTGTCATTTCCTCTAACCCGAGCTCTCATTTGCATTTCCTGACATGTCATTTCCTTGAGATTTAGCTTAGCAACTAGCTAAAAAAGACAATGTTAAACTCGAGCACACGTTGGTAGTGCAGCAGGACAATGTAAGTACTCCTCTGAATAGCTTAAACGGCTTAGTCTATATATTGACTCGACTTAAATACAATAGACATATTTTCCACAACGTTCTTTGCTTCTTGCATGCTACAAAGTCTCTCTTCTTTGTTTGATGTCCTTCAGAGGAGCTTCAGGTCCCTTTAAACTGGAAGCTGCATTCACAGATGTATCAAAGCAGCTGTCAGCTTCAACACTGCATGAGCTGATGAGTGCTTTTCTTTTTACAGCTTTAGACAAGCTGTATGTTGGTTTGAAGAGAAATGATAAGACAATAGGCCACAAAGAGAAAAGTAAATGCATTAAAAGGACTGACAAAGTCAATGTCTCACCACAAAACATGACAAAAGGGGAAATAGAAAGAAAAAAAACCCAATACCTTAATATAGTTCTCCTCCTAGTTTGACCTTTTAGTAATGTAGCCAATATTTGCTAAACAGTAGCTAACCTCATTCCTGATCTGTATGGTGCACAATAATTTTTAATATTTCTATTAGCCTCTCAAACATTCACTTGCCAGTATTAAGGTAAAATAAAGGCTGCCCATTAGCATTGGCCTATTGTTGCTTTTATTAAAAAAAAATTGAATAATGTATTATGATTTATATTTTCATTTCAAAGGGCTTTACAACAAATAAACATCCATCAGCCTTTTGCCTCAGCCTGCTTGTCCTTAACACAGCTATACACAGGACAAACAACCATGCAAATACACACATACATGCATATGCTCAGGGTCATTTAGAGAGACTAACCAAACAACAGAAATGTTCTTAGACTCTGAGAGGAAGCCAGCCCAACCTTTCATTCAATTTCATTGCAGAAAGACCAGGAATCAAACCGGCAACCTTTTCGAAGCAATGCAACAGTGTTTACCACCATCTGATAAACATAATTAAAGAGGAAAAAAGAAAAAGTTAAATCTCCAAACTAATTGCTCATGCACCATTTATCTGTAATCAGTTAAGCACTGATTACAGATAATCTGTTAGGTGTTGTGACCAATTAGATTTTATCATCATGCTGAAAAAGTTTGAGATTTTGTTCACCTTACAAGTTTAAACGTGAACTGATAGCTGTGGCTTGCCTGCAACAGTAACTTTAACTAATTCATGCCTAATCACAGTTTGTTGTTGGTAGTGTTGTAGAAACTGAGGTTTTTCCTGACAGAAGTGGTAAATGTGACCTTTAAGACCATCTTATACCTGGTGAGCGTCAGCAAACCAAACCCACAGAACTAACTCGCATCATGAGCAGCTTTCTGTTTATCTGAGCGATTCAGCGTGTGTGTGGGTATAAAGTTGGGAATTCGGGGCTCTTTTGACCCAAGTTCTATCAGGCCAAGTGACTCATCAGCTCTATGGTACACAACAGATGGAGCTCGGAGCTATTCAGATTCCTATAATACCACTCTATCCACCCATTCCACCCACGCTCGGCGATGAGATCCATCTCCTGCTCATCCGCCACTCAGTGACTCAAGTCAGTCCTTCTGTTTACAAAAATATGCTTTCAAGTTCCCATAAATTTGTATGAGAGAAGAGGAGAGAGGAGAAACACATGGAAGGGAGAGGATAAAGAGACGTTTAAGCACGTAATCCTCACATGTTGTTTGTGCGAATATATTACCGCTTTTTTTGGAGCAAAAGCCCTCATTTCCTGCCTGTTGCAGCGGCGCAGAGCCTCGTTATACCACATTTCATCAGGCCTCTTTGTGAAACATCGACTCCTTAAATCACCATTCATCTTTCAGATCAAAGCGCCATGACTTCAGCGCTTGACACCATCAAGCTCATTTTTAATGCTGGTTTTTTTTTTTTAAACTAAATGCCTCGCTTGACACCGCCGAAGCTCCTTTTTTAAATTTTTTTTCCCGGGTGAACTCCAGCTCTCCTCCGTCCTTTTGGGAGTGCCGTAAAT